GAAATTATCACTCTAATGAGAGAGAAAATAAAAAATAAATAATATATCAGTGCTAGGAAGAAAAACAGGAGGACCATTCATCCCTATTTGCCCTGAGCAGTACCCCTTTCACAGCTGTTGTCTTGGTGGAAATACTAAAAACACACTCTTTTACTCTCAAAGTATTCTGGTGTAGAAGATACAATAACCTTAAAGATAATGGGATAGAGATTGAGATATTGACCAAAAGGGGGAGCTATTTTTAAATACTTTGGTGAGAAAAGATCTCTCATTATAATGATAAATCTGAGGAGTGACTTGGAGAGAAGTGAGGGAGCAGGCAAATCCATATCTGTAGGAAGAGCTTTTCAGGCAGTGTATTTGTGGCAGTATGTAGCTGACCCGTAAACAATGCAGAAGCTAGGGGTGACCATCCTCCTGCAGTTGAAATCTGCATATAGATTATAGTCGGCCCTCCATATCAGTTCCTCCATATAAATGGTTCCTCCGAATCTGCAGTTCAGCATCCACAGGTTCAACCAACCACAGATCATGTACTGTAGTATTTCCTATTGAAAAAAATCCATGTATAAGTGGACCAGCACAGCTCAAACCCACGTTGTTCAAGGGTCGAGTGTACTGTGTACGTGTGACAGAGTACGTTTGTGTGTGTGTGTGTGTGTGTGAGTCTGTAGAAGAAAATCTACAAAGCTTCAGTGAGAAAGGAAGAAACTCCAGTTTCAATAGAGTAGTCTATAAACTAGAAAACTTTTCATTCTCTTTCTTGCCTAAAAATGGTTCCCAGGAAATGGCTTTAGTCATAATTAGTTTTAGTCTGGTAGATTCCAGGATTAAAACCATTTCCCTAAAGAGAATGCCTTCTCTATGAATGTAAAATAGCCCTATATGGCTTTTAATGTCATTGGCCCTTAATATCACTTTATATTTATACATCATAAATATATATTTCCCCAGAAGCTTGGTGATTCTGGGGTGCAGATATGGTATGAATGGAACTTGGCAGTTCCCCAATAATAAGAGTAATAATAATAACACACCACCAATAAAAATAAACAAGGGACATTTTAAGTGTTTACTGCGTGCCAGGGACCGTTGTAAGCATTTTACCTGAGGTTACTCAAGTATCTGGCCATTTATCAGACTGCCCAGTTAAGGGGGTCTCTGAATCTCCTTGAGCATTTGTACCATCTACCAAAGAAAAAATAGATCCTTACCTCTCAACATACACAAAAATTAACTCAAAGTGGACCACTGGCCTAAATGTAAGGGATAAAACCATAAAATTTGTAGAAGAAAAGAGAAAATTTTTGTGACCTTGGGTAAGGCAAAGACTTCATCAAAAACATGATACATAAAAGAAAAAAATTGATAACCTGGACTGCATAACTTTTGTTCTTCAGAACACCCCATTAAAAGAATGAAAAAAATAAGCCACAGACTGGGAGAAAATATTTACTAGTCATATATCTGATAAAGAACTTATATTTAGAATATTTTTAAAGACAAAAAAAAACTTACAATTCAGTAAGAAGACAAACTACCCAGTTCAAAAATGGGCAAAATATTTGCACAAGCATTTTATAAGAAAAAGCTACATGAATAGCTCATCTGTACTTGGAAAGATGCTCAACATTATCAGTATTAAAATGCAAATTAAAAATACATTGAGAGGGCTTCCCTGGTGGCGCAGTGGTTGGGAGTCCGCCTGCCGATGCAGGGGACACGGGTTCGTGCCCCGGTCCAGGAGGATCCTGCATGCCGCAGAGCAGCTGGGCCCGTGAGCCATGGCCACTGAGCCTGCACGTCCGGAGCCTGTGCTCCGCCAACGGGAGAGGCCACAACAGGGAAAGGCCCGCGTACCGCAAAACAAAACCAAAACCAAAAACAAACAAACAAGCAAAAAAATACATTGAGATACCACTACACATCTATATATTCCAAAAAGACTAACAATATCAAGTCTTGGGGATGATATGGAAAATCTTCATACGTTGCTGGTGGTAATGTAAAATGGTACAGTAAGTTTAGAAAACAGGCTGACAGTTTCTTAAAAAGTTAAACATATACTTAGGATACAACCCAGCATGTATCCATATACTCACAGCAACATTGCTCAGAATAGCCAAAAACTTGAAACAATCCAAATGTTCATCAAATGGTGAATGGAAGGGGAAAAAAATTCCATACAAGATGAATATTATTCATAAATAAAAAGGAATGAACTACTAATATGTAGAACAACATGAATAAACCTCAAAAACATTATTCCAAGTAAAAGAAGCCAGGCACAAAGGACTAAATGTTATAAGAACCCACTTATATAAAATTTCTAGAAAAGAAAAATATACAAATATCTATTTTCTAGATAGAAAATAGATCAGTGGTTGTGGGGACTGGAAGTGGGCATAGAGACTGAGTACAAGCAGGCGTCAGAACTTTTGGGGTGATGGAAACATGCTAAATTGGATTGTGATGACGGCTCACAACTATATATATTTTCTAGAAATCGCTTAACTACAGTTACAATGGGTAAATTTTGTGATATGTAAGTTATACCTCACTAAAGCTATTAAAGTAAGGAAAGGAAAGATGACACTACCTTTCCTACAAGAACAGTATTTCAGGGTCATCACATTGCTGATAAGGAAAATATCTGTTAGAGAAGAATTCCAGCTAACACATATAGAAAAAATTAACAGTATTAGAAAAATCACATTTGGTAACCCCTAATGAAAAGACAGGTCTCAAGGAATGCTGAAGCTGTTCGATGAAAGGCGGTAGAGGAGGCTTATCACGGAGGAATCAGGCTGATGCTGCCTGGAGGCAAAAGATAAATCTTAATATCACTAAACTTAAGACAATCAGACATTATATGCCACTTGATATGATGCAATAATAAGTACAGAGCACCAATTATGAAGGATTCTTGCCAAAAAAACAAATAAGCCTGAATCGAACGAAACCTTTAGGTCTAATTTTCAGTTTACATAATATAAGTGATGAATAAGCTAAACAACACTTTGAGGAAGCAGCAGCCAAATCCAAACTGTAGGACATTCTAAAGGACCTGATTTTTCTAACAAATTCACGGCATTAGGAAGAAAAAAAGTGAGGGACACTACTACAGAAGAAAATAAACTTAAGAGCTAAACAGCCATATACATATGTGAACCACGCCTTGATGGGATCCTGATTTTTAACAAACCAACTGTATAAAGACATTGTGGTGGCAATTGGAGAAACCTGCATAATGACTAAGTATTCGATGTTATTAAGGAATTATTATTAATTTTGTTACATATGATACCAATATAGTGGTTATATTTTTTTCAAAAACGCCTTTATCAATTAGAGGTCATGCCAGAATACTGGCAGTGAAGTAATGTATGTATAGAATTTGCTTTTAAATATTCCAACATTTTTTTAAGTGGCAGGGTAAACATATAATACAATGGGCAAAATGTCAAAAACTGTTGAAGCTGACAGGTATATGAGACTTCATCATTCCATCTTTTCCACTTTTAGTATATTTTAATTTTTCATATTAATAAGGTTAGGGGACAACAAAAAACTGCAAAGCTGAGAGGAAAAGAAAAGTAAAAGAAAAGGGGTCCAAAGCTTACAAGAGAGATCAGGGATAAAGACTGCTGTGGAAACCATCAGAAGATAGGTAAAACATGAAGCCAAGTCTTTGGAGAATATCATATAAGGAGAGAGTAGAAACTAAGTCAAAAGAGATCAGAGAAGTGAAGCCAGAGGAATTTGAGAAAGATACCAAAAAGTGGAATGTCAGTGATGCAGGAGGAAACCTAAGAGAAAAACTGAATCAGGGGAATCAAGACAAGAAAGATTCCAACTAATAAGAACCACCAAGTACTCTTAGAGACCCTAAATTTCAAATAAAATAGGAAAAATTATGTTTTATAACAAGAGAATTTCAGAATGATAAGGGAAATAATTATCTTCATATTTTCTAAGATACACAATTTCCCAGATACTGAACAAGATGTTCAAGAAAATTAAAAGTCATTACGCACTGGCACCAAGTTGCCACCTCACTAGTCTGCCGTAGTGGAAGACAGAATACCAAGTGCAAGAACAGCTATAAAAAATAAATACGATATTGACATTAGCCATAAAGAGTTCTTTAAACTATTAACTCCCTGAAGGTAAAACAATGAGCCAGCCCTATTTCTACCCATATGCCCAGATTCTAGCATGGTTCCAGGCTGCATGTTTCTATATTGCTAGAGTCCCAACGGGGTGCAAAAGGTATGGAAGGGACAGTTGACATTGATGATGCTCAATATTGTTGGCATTTTGAGTCACAATTATATATTAGACCAATATGGTAATCCCTAATCCCTTTCTGATTACAAGGATAAATAACAGAGCTTTTCATTTCATACTCAGAGCTCAAATAACGTATTCCCCAACGTATACCTTTGCATTGCTGCTCTCACAAAAAACTGGATCTTTTTATAGTTGATCCCCAGTACTTTGAAGAATTTACTGTTAACCACAGCCTTGAATACGTCACTTTCAAATAATTTATTAACATATTGCATATAATACAAAATGCAAAAGCATATATATTTTAAGCTACTATTACTTCAATCTTCTATTGTTTACTATCTTGATTTGCAATACAGTGAGGTTAAAGACATATTTTTGTTTGCAGGGCAAAGTCCCACCTAACATGAATCTCAGTTCTTACATCATTAACAGCCCATATCATTTTAATCAATAAATAGTTCAGATAAGTCTTTTTGTTATTCACAGATCAAACACAGAAAAAGGAAAAATTCCCCATCTCTCTGCAGCACACGTAGTTTTTATTATTTCCAGGTATATTTCAAAATTCTAAAAAGTGTAAAAAACTTCTCACCTCAAGATTTTTGAAGTTCTTGTTTGACCCTTTTTGACTTTTATCTAACTCAGGATTAAAGAGCATGATTCTAAAATCTCTTAGAATCAGAAATTAAAAGTTAAAAACTTACATTCAAGCTGTGCAACCACATCTCCAGGGTCTACTGCTTCGGGGAACATCTATAGTGAGAGAAGGCAGAGGGAAGCAGGATAGAGAAGAGAATGTAAAAGGAAGACATATATGAAATAGTTTTTGTGTTTTCCTTCTCATTCCCAAAATATTCCTTTCCCAACCAAAGAAACTTCTGACATTACTGAGAACTGTCACTTCCTCTCTGCTTCTCATGATCACTATACAAGATTTTACCAACAAACGAAAATTACATCTGGCTCTGCCTCCCTCTCCAATTTGATCTGCTAGCAGTCCTCCCTTTGTTACCATGGTCATACTTGCCTTCTTGGTGTTCCTCCAGCTCATCAAGCTTATTCCCAACAAGACACCTTTATATTTTCTGTTCCTCTGCTTAGAATGCTTTTACCCTAGACCTTTAAATAACTGATACTGTCTCATAATTCAGGCTCAGTTTCAACGTTATTGCCTTCTCTGACCACCCTTTAAAATAAAGAATCCCCCTAATCCTTCTGTCCCCTTACCCTCCCTTTATTCTCTTCATGACACTTACTATTTACTTGATTATTGTCTGTTTCACCTATTACAATGAAAGCTCCAAGAGGGGAGCATGTTTGTTTTTTTTACCCAGTGCCTAGAACAGTGCATGGAACAGACCAGGTACTCAGTAATTACCTGTGGAGAAGAGGAAGGAGAAAAAGGAAGGAAGGAGGGAAGGAGGAAAGGAAGAAAGGAGGGAAGGAAGGAAGGAAAGAGGGAAGTAGACAAGGAGAGAAGGAAAGAAAAAAGTGAGAAATACAATTGGTAATAATTACCCAAAAGCACCAGATTCAGGGGGGAAAAAGGAAAAGAGACTTATAGAAAGAAGCACCACATGACAGCCATAAGCAAAATATGACCTATTCTTACCTATTAATATCTCCCCCATCTCTTCTATGAAAATGATTACTTAGAATTCAAGGTGCTATATTTTACATAAAGACCACTAAGACAATTTTAGAAGTAAACTGATCCATCACGAAGAAGAGGCAACTGATTCAATGTATAATATAATGCATATTTATTTTCAAGCTTCCGGATTTAAGTTACAAATCTCCTTTTGAATTAAATCAAAGTGCATAGTCAACAATCGTAATATGTGTTATTCAAAATTTGGAACCACTTTGATTTTTTATTGGTTAACATTTGATTGGATATTTGAACTCACCTTTTCAAACACCATTCTGGCATTGAAGACCAGTGGAAAATTGGCTGGGACACATTGTGTCTTTTTGTATTGGCCAAACACACAGATGCTAAGATAGATGTCCTCCTTGTCTTTCAGTACCACTCCTGGGCAAGTTACCTGAAAGAAATTAGACAGATGAATGTGACTGCTTCATGAATTCCCTGAACTACTGTACTAAAATAACTTACCAAACATTACATAAAAACACTAGTCTGCTAAGCTAATAAAAATAGGCACAAGTTAAAAGAAAAAGACAGAGATTCTAGTATTTACAGAGTTAAATGAAATGCCTTTATAACTTCCATCCCTCTGAGATATCTATGGTTTTCCACTTGGTTATTTGTGCTCTATGTACTGGCTCTTGGGACAGACACTAATAGTTTTAAACAGTAAGCCTCAGGCTCCCACTTTATGTAGAATGCTGACATAAACTTATTCAGCATCATTTAATCGCAAAGGATTAAGACTCAGCAGAAATAAAGCACAATACTAGAGGACAAAAAAAAATACCAAAAAAAGCACAAATCTGACCTGTATCACCCTAAGTCTCAGCCCATACACACCCTCATCAGAAGAAATACGACAAACTTTCAGAGCAAGTGAAGTGTAAGTTTCTAGCCCAATGAAATATTTTTTAAACATAAAACTGCACTTAACTATTCTCAGGACTGACACAAGGTATATAGGCATAAGATGTAGGGTTTCTAAAAATTACATAGCACAGTCTCTCCAGTTCCTGCCACATTTCATTTTCAGTGATCAACCATACCCTTAGTAGGCTATTGAAGATTCTCCAAGATTTGAATCCAACTTATCATATAGCAATATTACTTGACACCTCCTAAAAATACAATCAAAGTATATTTGTTATTGTTTACTGAACGCACACATTACTTTCTTGCTCGCATTCTTCCATTATCTGGATTACTGCTCATTTCTACTCCATGCCATCTCCTCCTCATCTACTTCTACCTCCCAAGGCTTACATTAACTGTCATCCCATACACAAAACTTCTCTTGATTCACCAACTATCACTATTCAATTCAATCTAATTCAAACATTTATTGTTAATTTATTATAGTCAAGTAAATAGTTTTAAATTCTCACAGCATTTTATAGTTCTCTTAAGGCCCTAATTATTGTCTCTATGCATTTTAATGAAGTGGATACACCTCACCTATTTTATTTGATTATAAATTCCCTGAGAACAGAAACTCTAATTTCCTCATCAATGTATCCAAAAACACAGACTTTCTATATTAAGAAGCAGCTTAGAAATTATCTAGTACAGCTTTGAATTTTTTATACAGGGAAACAATAGAGACCCAATAAAGTGAAGGTGATTTACTTACTTAAAGTCACACAATAAATGAGTCAATACAATACATTCAAAGTATTTAGAACAGTGCCTGACAGTGTTTTAAATAAATACTAGTGGGCTTCCCTGGTGACGGAGAGGTTAAGAATCCACCTGCCAATGAAGGGAATACGGGTTCGGGCCCTGGTCCAGGAAGATCCCACATGCCACAGAGCAACTAAGCCCATGCACCACAACTACTGAAGCCTGCACGCCTAGAGCCCGTGCTCTGCAACAAGAGAAACCACTGCAATGAGAAGCCCATGCACCACAAAGAGGAGTAGGCCCCACTCGCCACAACTAGAGAAAGCCCACGCACAGCAACAAAGACCTAACGTAGCCAAAAATAAAAAAATAAATAAAAATGTATAAATAAATAAATACTATAGTTATTATTAGAATGAAAACCACTATCATCTCCATCTTAATATAGACTATTGCACTGAATAAATGACAAAGACTTCATGTCCCTCTGTATACAGCAGTTAAGATTATTTTCTATGCTAGCTATTTTGACTCCATCTACCCCTTATTCTATTTTCTACTTTTGTCCTAATAATTCACTATTGATTATTAAAATCAAAGCCTTCAGAAATCTCATTCTGTCCATCAGCTTCATTTTCTACTCTGCCTCATTTAAACCAAACCTGTTAAGAGTACCTCTAAGTCTGTGTTATGCCTACAGATGAGGCTGGTCCAAATTGAAATGGACAGTTAATGTAAAATACAAGATTTTGAAGACTTGCTCAAAAATATTTTAAAGAATGTTTACAAAACAAGTGTAAAAAAACTCATTAACAACTTTTACACTAATTACATGTTGAAAGGATAATACTTATACTGACTTAAATAAAATTACTGTTAAAATTAATTTTATCACTTCTTTTAATTATTTAATGTAGCTAGGGGAAATTTTTTAATTATATCCTTGGCTCAAATTATACTTCTATTGGACAGCACAGCTCTAACTGTCCTCACTGGAAAATACTGAGTCTCTTTCCAATTTGTAGTATATTTAAGAAGACATGACATTTTTCCTTAGCCACAGTTCTATAAATTCTGCCATTCTTTAAAGGAATACCATGGAAAGTTCCATAAAGAAGGCATCAAAAGAGGGGTTAAAGAAAATCCGACGGAACAAATATAAAATAAGTAGCAAACTGGCTGGCTTAAACCAATCATATGGATAATTACATGAATGTAAATATCTTAAGTATTGTAACTAGAAGGCAGAAATTATCAGACTGGATAAAAAAGCAAAACACAATATGCTAGTCTGCAAAAACACAATTTTAAAGATTACGACATACATAGAAAAAGTATTTTCGTAATAGTAGAGTAAATATCTCCAAAATCAGCCCCTCCACAGAGAAGCTGAATAGATATTTTTCCAAAGAAGATATACAGATGGCCAACAGGCACATGAAAAGACGTTCAACATCACTAATTGTCAGGGAAATGCAAATCAAGACCACAATGAGATACCACCTCACACTCGACAGAATGGTTATTACCAAAAAGACAAGAAACAACAAGTGTTGGTGAAGATATGGAAAAAAGGGAACTCTCACACACTGTTGGTGGGAATGTCAACTGGTGCAGCCATTATGGAAAACAGTATATCGAGGGTTCCTCAAAGAACTAAAATAGAACCAGTTATAGGATCCAGCAATTCCACTCCTGGGTATTTATCTGAAAAAAAAGAAAATACTAATTTGAAAAGGTATATGGGGACTTCCCTGGTGGCGCAGTTGTTAAGAATCCTCCTGTCAATGCAGGGGACACAGGTTCGAGCCCTAATCCAGGAAGATCCCACATGCCACGGAGCAACTAAGCCCGTGCGCCACAACTACTGAGCCTGTGCTCTAGAGCCTGCGAGCCACAACTACTGAGCCCACGTGCCACAGTTACTGAAGCCTGAGCGCCTAGAGCCCGTGCTCCACAACAAGAAAAGCCACTGCAATGAGAAGCCTGTGCACCACAACAAAGAGTAGCCCCCCCGTCATAACTAGAGAAAGCCATGCACAGCAACGAAGACCCAACGCAGCCACAAATAAATATAAATAAATATTTTAAAAAAACAAAAGATATATGTACCATGTTCATTGCAGCACTATTTACAATAGCAAGATATGAAAGCAACCTAAATATCCATCAATAGATGAATGCATAAAGAAGGTGTGATACACACAAACACATCCCCCCACACATACACACAGGGATATTACTCAGCCATAAAAAAGAATACAATATTGCCATTTGCAACAACATGGATGTACCTAGAGGGTATTATGCTAAGTGAAATAAGTCAGATACAGAAGGAAAAATACCATAAAGAAAACAAAACAAATGAACAAAACAGAGACACATAGATACAGAAATAAACTGGTGGTTGCCAGAGGGGAGGCAGTGTTGGGGGGGCGGTGGACAAAGTGGGTGAAGGGGATTAAGAGGTACAAACTTCTAGCTATTAAGTAAATAAGTAATAGAATTAATGTACAGCATAGGGAATATAGTCAATAATATTATAATAACTCCATATGGTGACAGACGGTAACTAGACTTATCCTGGTGATCATTTCATAATGTATAAAAATATTGAAACACTATGTTATACACCAGAAACTAATATAATATTGTATGTCAATTATAATTAAAAAATTATTGTAACAAATGGTGAATATTTACTATGAGCCCTAAATTAGACAGTATTGTTGTATAAATGCTAAATTTATTGTGTGGGGGAATTGTATTAAACTTATATAGGAGAATGTCCTTGTTCTTAGGAGATTTACCCTAAAATATTTAGTGGTAAAGTGTCTGAATGTAAGCAACTTCAAATGTTTCATCAATATATGTTTATGCCTATATCTCTACTTGTATCATAGAGAAAGATAAATAAATCAGATGTGAAACAAACAAAAAGTAAGCCCTCCGTAAAAGCAATGAGAACACCAACAAAAACTGTCAAAATCAACTTTTTAGAGATCTAGAAATTAACCAGAAGTTTGCAACAATCTGAGGAGCATTTATTCAAGAAAAATAGCTGAATTTTGGTAAAAACAGTGATATTGTGGTGTTTTAACATACTTTATTCCCAATCTCCTCTACTCAGGTCTGCTATAGCCTTGACAACCAAGACCCTTACAATCATGGTAGCCATGAAAACTAGCAGCCCTACAGCCACTGTAGGAAATCAGGTATAAAGCTACCCAAAAGCCCTACGCCTAAGGAATTGTCAACCCCCATTCACAGGGCTTCTCTTTGACTTGAATCAGAGCTTAGTCACAACAAGCATCCTTTACCTGCAAGGCATTTGTCAGAAAAAAAAAAAGCAGCCATTGTTTAACATCACCGATGCCTGAGGCAGTGCCAGTTGGAGCAAACAATAAGTGACGAAAACACTTAAAAGGCAAAGCTGGAGAACTGTGTGTGTGTGTGTGTTGGGGGGCTGTCTTTGACAAGCTGTGATACATTCTTGGCAATTTAGAAGGTCATGCACACGTGCAGGGCTACAAGCATACCCAGAAATTACTTAAGGAAGCCCTAATCTCTCACCTCTGGTTGATCTTGAGGCTTTGAAAATGTTGGAAGTGAAGACTAAGAGTTGTACATTACCTGCAGGGCATAGAAAGCATGTCCCAACATACTCAGCAATAGAGATACTCAGCAAAGACTGGGGGACTCACTGGTTCAAAGCATTTAAGGAAATATAAGCCCTGTCATTAGAGGGCCATGAAGCTAACTGAGCAGAGACTT